GCAGTCCTCCGTAGACTCATCGTCCTCGAGTGATTCGAGCAGATGGCGCTCGAATATGGTCTTCCTGTACGGTATATTGCTTACAGCAATGGGTTGGTCGATGGGAGAGCTCTTGAGAAGGTTAAGGAGAGTGCTGCGGTCCATCTTAGATAAGTAATAGTCGTGCCAGGCGTTCTTCTTGATCATGTGGACCGGTGGCATCTCTGAGCTGTGGACATGGATGACAGCCGCATAACGATACGCGCTGAGCTCGTTGGTGGCTCCCATTAGCTTTGGCAGGATTTCGACGTATGAGACACAATCAAACAGTCGACTTGTCAGCTCTGTAAAGAAAGTAGGGTCCACTAGCAGCTCTTCCTCACGCACTCCAATTTCTGCCATCTTTTCTCGAACCTGGTTCTTTGTCGCCCTGTCTCCCCCGAGAGCATGTAAGGCTCTTGATGCAAGGAACTGAGTGTTGATTGCCCAGGATCGCATGTCGCCAAAAACGACACGTCGGACACCAGGAAGTCTGACAAGCGTCTCCACAACCTTAGACAAGTACTCTGGCGAAGGGAAGTACTGTGCAACTGAGTTGATGACGACCAGCTCTGGACGGAGGTTTTTCAGGCTACCGACATCTGTTGCCGTTCCGACATGTACAACAGCTTTGCCCGCCAAGGTAGGGGTCATTTCGATTGCCTTGTTAACGAATGTGGCTGCAGATTTGGACGGCTCAAGGCCGACATAGCTCTTCAACCCTGTGCCGAGGTTGAAGAGGATCATACCTGTACCAGTCCCAATTTCGAGAACGTCGCCTGCAGGTTGTTCGCCCAGGATGGTCCGCATGGTGTCATCAAGCCACTCTTGCATTTGGACTTTAGGGATTATGCTTCCGTCGTACATAGACGTCCATCCCATAAAATCGCGACCGACTGTAGACAAGTCAATCGTCCCGATGTCTTCGTATGTCCGTAACTCGAAGTGGTCCGCCCAGTCTGTTACCTTGTTTTCGTTTTCGTTTTCGTTTTCTTCAATTTCAATCTCAACCTGGCTCTTCACGGCGACAAAACCGACCATTTCTGGCTCTTGGCCCTCCTGGCAATTAATTACAACGGCCGCATCGTCGGCTACATAGCACCTCAGGATAGCGTGCTCAATTTCAGCAGGCTCGATGCGATGGCCGCGGATCTTGATCTGGTAGTCCATTCGTCCAAGGAACTCAATCTGGCCGTCTTTGGGTCGGATTCGGACCCGATCGCCTGTCCGGTATGCTCGAACGCTGTTACCTCCCAGACAAACGTTCACAAATCGATTGACGTCCAATTTCGAGTCTGTGTACCCTCTTGCGAGCCCATCACCCGTCACAATCAGCTCACCAATGACACCACCAGAGACTAGCTGCTGTTGCCTGTCCATGACAAAAGCCCCCGAGTTACTGACTGGTCGACCAATCGGCACGCTACCGACAAACTGGTCTCCTTGGCGGACATTGTAGATTGTGCTAAGGACGGCGTTCTCAGTAGGACCATAAGCGTTATACACTCCTTCAGGAACGAGTGCCTGTGCTTTGACGGCATCTTGACCCTCGAGCCGGTCTCCTGCAACGAACAAAAGATCGACATCTCTTAGCATATCTGGGCTGATCGCGAGAACCTGTTTGAGCAGGGCTGGGGGAAGCATGGTTGCACAGATGTGCTCTTTCGCAAAGACAGTTCTCAGTGCTTTAACATCCACGGAGGTGAAATAGTCAATACAAATGATAGTCCCACCATTGAGCAACGCGGCGTAGATCTCCCATGTTGAGGCGTCGAAGGCGAGATTGGACAAGTGCGCTATTTGAGCATTTTGGGGGAGCCGGCTGACTACGTTGCTGTTCTTGACTAGTCGGATGACACTGCGATGTTCAATCATGACACCCTTTGGCTTGCCTGTTGAGCCAGAGGTAAAAATCACGTATGCGAGGTTCGTAGCGGAAGTCGACGGAAGCTTCGTTGTAGTGACAGCGTGTCCTTTAATCT